TGCAGGTGCCCGTCGGGACAGTTCTTAGGCATAGACATTTCTAACTGATGCCATTGTGCTCTGGGCCAAAGCACCTCCTACTTAGTTTGTTCAGGTCAATAGTGTCTGCGTGTCTTTAACTGGTTAAGTCTTTGTGCTTAACATTATCAAGATTCTGAAGGTGAGACCCAATATGTAATGGCAAACTTGGAACATGAACCTCACACAGGTAAATCCACATGGGCTTAAGCAGCTCATGGGAACTAGTGGACTCTGGGGTGATCACAAGCTCCATGGTCTGGAAACCTTTGTTTTGTTACTGAGGATAAACTTAATTGTGTAGATATTTATGTTATATTTTAATGCTCTAGAAGCTTAACCAGTACAAGGGGGTGGCAGTTCACATGAGGACCTGGACATCAGGGTACCAATTGGTTGTGGCTCATCTCTTCTCTTCCAGGCCAGAGTGACAAGTGTGCTGAGATATTAATGACCTCAGCCCTTGGTGGTCACTTCAGACTATGAGCTGCCTCATCTGGTTACCCCAGCATGCTTCACAGATATCTGTACTTTCTGTGTGTGGCATGAGCACAGTCTACACACAAAGCTGCAGGGTGGGCGAGTGAGCGTACAAAGTTCTCATGGACCTGGAACCCTCTGGGGAGGACCCTAGTAAGCTGGATTTGTCACCATTCCTAGCTTCCATCTCTTGCAGCTGTCTACTGGACTTTTCAGTAGACAATTCCTTTCATGATATGAGTGCTGCAGTGGATTGGTTCACTGCTCTGTTCTATAGCCTGTTTACAGGAGCAGGTATGCTATGAGTTCTGGGATCAACCAGCTTCAGCATGACTGCTTTTAGGATGCCTGAATTAGGAATATCTCAGATATTTAGAAAGTTATCCTGGGAATATACTTCTAATAACAGCTAGTTTGAGTGGTCAAGAACAGGAAAAATATTCCATGAAAAAGGAAACATTCCTTTTCCTGACTTCTTGCCATTCTAATAGGGTGCCAGGTCATTTGAATGATCTCCAGCCCAATGGAGTCTCATTGTCAGCATCCCAAGGGTAAGTGACAGTATCTTATCCAGACTGCATTTTATAGTGCATTGTTCTTTGATTATTACCACTTCCGTTACCAAAGAACTAATAGATTTCTTTGCTTAATGCTTTTCATGCTTTGCTTTAAAAATAATAGAATTTTGGAGCTGGGATGAGTCTTGTACAAGTTTCTAAAGTGTTACTACATTTTACAGGTGAGTGACTGAGGTCCTGGGGATTAAGGGATTCTTCTGAGGGCACTGGCTGCATTTGCTGCTTTTGAAAGTGAGCACACTTGTAGCCCCCACACCAGCTCAGTACAGACATCTTCCTGGCAGGATCTGATTTCAAGCTCTACATTTTAAATTCAGAAAAAGGTGTTGGATTAATGTTCCATTTGAGCTTAAGTGTGTTTTCTTTTAGACAGATTTTGAGAAAGTGTATTAAAGGAGTCCAAGTCTTTATTGCACTTGTCTCTCTGGGAAAATAGAAATTAATCTGAAAAACAATAAATAGATTCTATGCTGAATGTTCCTTGGAGAAAACTACTGTGGCTCTTCCTTCCTCAACCTCCTCCCCACCTCTGTCCTGACCTTTTCTAACAAGAGCTACCATCTATCCACCTGGTATTGTCCAGGTCACTTTGTAAATATTTCTGACCCTCTTGTAAAAAAATGATAATAGATGGAATCACTTTAAAATGGAGCCAGAGTTGCCATGCCAGAGGAGCTGCCTTGCACATCCTATGTCTCAAACCTTGGAAGGTTAAAACATAGCAAAATCACCCTTGGACTGGACCTAAGCAACCTTGTGTCCTCAACACTGTAAATGTTACAAGAAAACACTTATTATGACTACTGGACTGATGACTATTGTACTGAAAATTAAAGACATTGTTTAGAATTAACATCACTATGTTATGTTATTTGCACCAATAAAAAATGTCTTCTTTCTTTTGATGTAATTGTTCCCCTTTTCTTTCTCATTAAATACTCATTGCCTTGTCTCCTAATCAAAACACTATTTGAGCTGAAGCAGTGCTGGTCTCAATAAGTGCTTCTTGCCTCTCATTTTGAAAGTCCCTTTTATTTTTAGGTCAATACTCCCAATAACCCTACGAGGTAGAAATTATTATTCCTATTTTACCAATAAGGAAATAGAAGATCCCAAATCCCCCAGTTTGGTGACTGGTGGAATTCTGCTGATCTGATTCCAAGGGCACCCTATACTAATCATATCAAGTTGGTGAAGACATCACTTTGCATCTTAAGGCCCTTTTCAAGTCATTCGACCCAGAGAGGGCCCACCCCACAGCCTCTCTGTTTTACGCAGAAGATCTGTGGATTGTGGATTAGCTTGATCTTAACTTGTGTCTCTGACTAGGAATTATAGTGCCAGGGCTGTGAAGGGAGCATGGTATTACCATGGTTCTGACAGGTAATAATTAAGGCACAGTGGTTCTCATTCTGCCCAGTTTACACACAGTGATGACTCTAGAATTTCTATAGAGTTTAGCAGTGACATTCTGAGAGAGAGGTTGTTCTTGAAGCTGTAAGCACAGTACATATTAAACACACTTTATTGAATCTCACTTTATTGAAACTTTATTTTGGGGAGGGGAAATGAAATTTATGGAGGGCTACTAAAACCTTTTTTACAACTTGTCCCTGGAAACCCCACTGGCTTCACTGCCTCCTCCAAGTTTTGGGGGATAGGATTTAAGTCTTAACTTAGACATTTTAACTTGGCTTTGTACTCTAGGAACTTTCTGTTATTGTTTCTTTTAGGGATACACTACTTTCTCACATATTAGTAATATTTTTATTTTAATCAATAATATTTCATTATATAATTCAGCAACCTATGGGAAATTGGTCTCTCATCCTTTTAGCTTAAAGGAAGTAACAAAATTATGTTATGCCAATTTTTGTTTGTGAAATTTTCAGACATATAAACAAATATTTCTTGGGTCTTCCCAAGCCCTGCTGGGTACAGCATCCCCATGAGCTTTTTCCTTTACAGTGTTCCTCATTGTCAATTAGCTCAGAAATCAGGGGCTGTCTTTGTCTTTGAAGTGCTACATGACAACAATGTGTGGAATAGTAATAAGGATGGCTTGAATCTTTTAAGAAAACAACATTAAAGAGTCCTTCAAAACTTTAATATCAGTTCATTCACAGACTCTGCTTTTCTGTTAGTTACAAATGACCTAGAGCTGTGCTTTGTGCACATGGCAGGCACTCAGTAAACATTTTCTGAATTCGTTAAGTTTGGATTAAATATCAATATTGGAAAGATGAACTACTAATGAAGCTAAGAAAAGGGATGTCAAAAGTACAAAATATCTTTAAAACAATGACATTAGATTTAGTTGCTTAAAATAACCTGTCCTTTAAACCAAGATCAGCTTCATATTTAAGCTTCACAACTTTTTAAGGTGTGTCTTAGAAACATAACATATAATGTGAAAAACCATTTGAATGCTGTGAAAGAGGGTAAGATAGTTGCCGTAATCAGAATAAGGTTGCCGTTTATATAGTGTTTTTAAGCTAACCTAGTCAACCACTTAATTTTATAGATGAGGAAAGCAAGATGGAGAACCCAGTGATTTGGTCAGTGTCAGAGCTGATGAGACCCTTGGTTGGGGCAAGAACCTGCCCTCTGACCAATACCTAGATATTCCATAAAATAATTTTTTGGTATAAAGTATAAAAGTTTACATTACTACTCTGTAGATAACCCCTTACGTCTATCTTGACAGCTGTAAACACTTTCTGAAGGATGTATATTTTTGGATGTTACTCCACCTTCAGGTGGAGTCAGGTCTAACAGGTGATGATAACAGCTCATTCTAGCATTTACACACTTTGCACAATAAGACTCCTTTCCAGAAAAATTATTGAGTTCCATTTTTCATTCGTTTGTTTCTCTATTTTTTTTTAATATAAATTTTCATCAAGGCCCAAGTGATGTCTTTCTCTCAGTCCCTGATTTGGTTCTCTGTTAGTAAGTGACAGGGAAGTTCGGCTCTATCGTTGGGGTCTATGAGCTGGGAGGGGCTGATCACACCTAATTTGTGATGCCAAAGGATATCTCGTGGTTCCTTTTGTCCAGGTCACTGGCAGTGAGCTGGTTATTTACACGTCTCTATGATTGAGCATCTCAAATTGCACTTCAGTCTCCATCCATCTGGCAGGAAGTTTGATTGCCAGCCCCCTGCCCCCCACTCCTGTCCCCCATACTTTGCCAGGTCAACCGAAGCAAAATCTGCTTCCATTATTTATACAGTGTCTACAGACCAATCCAGCCCACTGGGTGATGTGGACCCTGGCTCATGGGGTCTGCAACATTATGGATGAGATACAAGACAAATTCACACAGACTACCAAATCCTGTGGAGAAAAAGGGATGGCTCGGCTACTCTCTCAAGAGGAGAAATAACCTTGGAGCGCCTTGTGCCCCAACCCTTGCCTTGACAAGTTTTTATTGCTTTTCTGGGCACACTACATGATGGTCCTCATTTACTATGCACAGTTCACTTTAGGTGGTTACCTTGTATAGAAAACAAAGGAGAGGATGCCACTGATCACATCACAGAAGAAGGATATTTACAAATGCAAAGGGAGAGGTGGTTGAACTGGTTACACTCATTCTTGGAAGGTTTAGCATGGATTTTAAGAAGTTACTTTAAAGATATGCAGTAAATGTTTGCTGCCTCGATTCAGGGTGAGGGAGTTTTAGCAAAAGCAAGTCTTAAAGTGGCCTAGGTACAATGCTGGTCCAATTCGCCATGAGAGGACCTACCTGTGGGCATGGGTCCTGTCTGGGCCCACCCCATGGCAGAACTGTCTCCTATAACTGGGTACACCTGTTAAACCTGGATCTGAGTGCATAAGTGGTCGCTAGCATCTCCCTGACCCCTGGGTGTGTTGCCTGGGTGCCAGGCCATGGCAAGGCATTCATGGGCCACCGGCTTACCTTCTCATGTGTGGATAGCATAGCCAGACAGCCCCAGGCATTGGCGTGGACCAGGAAGCGGGCGGTGCCCAGGCACAGCCTAGAGCTGCTTCCCTGTGGGTAGGAGAACATCCAAGGTGCACAGGAGGCAGCCTAGCACGGGCGGTGCTCACAGTGGGGGACTGCAGGTGTCGGTCCTCCTTGTGCACTGAGGTTGGGAGACTCTGCTGCCATATACTGCCCAAGTCCTCCAGCAGCGTGGGTACTGCCTCCTCTGTGGAACAGCTGTCTAACTCCTCCTCCACCTGGTTGGTGACAGCCCAGGACACTGAGCTCACTATCAGGTAGCCTGAGGCCGGGGACCGCAAGGCACTGCAGCACAATAACCAGGAAAGTCTGGTCTCTGGTAGCACCTGCCGTGGTCGGAGGCACACTGACATTTTGCAGGCAGTGTAGGGCCATCTCCAATGGCTGGAGATGTCAGCAGCATCCCCCGGTGGTGGAAGTGGGGAGCTGGCACTCCCTTCCCCCTGCAACAGGAGCCCCCAGGCGGTGGGATGCCCTGGCAGCCACACACCACCTGTAGAAGTCGAGGCTTTTGGAAAACCAGATTAAGCTCCAAAGCTGCGTGCATGGCAGTTGGTAGTTGCAGTGTGCAGAATCCTTGATCAAGTACCAGGTCTGGAATACACTCAGTTCCCACTGCGTGGCTCACATTTTACAGCAGATGACGGACATTCAAATAAATCCCCACTCAATACAGTCCTCTACTTTCCTGCCATGACCCTGTCAAGTTACGTAATTTGTCTGTGCCCCAGTTACTCATTAGAAAATGAAAAAACAAAACAAAACAGTATTTAACTCATAAGGGTGATGGATGGGAGGATTAAATGAATTAATATTAGAAGATGCTTAGAATAGTATGTAGCATGGAGTAAGCATTGTATTTTGATAACAAACGAAGGTAGAGATTGTTATCATGTTTCATAGAGGAGGAAATTGAGTAAATGGTGTGTAAGGTTAGCACTGAAACCTTCTGGTGTCATAGCTTACTTTGTTGCTCTGTAAGAACAATGACCATCTTACATTTTGCTAGGACAGAAGGGCATTTCTGCCAGGTCATCTAAAAGCAGAAACAAATGCATGGATACATGGAAGAGACTGGCAGCTGTCAGAGGGGAAGTAGGAGAGGGGACTGGATGAAAGAAGAGGGAGGGATTAGCCAAAGAACATATATGCATAACCCATAGACACAGACTACAGTGTGGTGATGGCCCAGAGGGAATAGGGGGTGGGGCTGGATGGAAGTGGACAAAGTGGGGAGGGGATGGGGACATCTATAATAGTGTCAAAATAAAATAAAGAAAAAAAATGAAAGCAGAACCAAGTTTTTTACATATAAAATAAAATAAAGCCAATCCAGCACCCAGAGAGAATGTGGCTGGGTGGAGTAGGAAGAGAATTGCATGGATGCACCACAATTTGAAAACATTCTTATATTAATGAAAATTTGGACTATTTACAATAGTAAAGTTTTATAGATATAAAAATAATTTTAAATTATATGTGCTTTTTCCATTTTTATTGAATTTATTGGTTAACAAAATTATACAGGTTTCAGGTACACAGTTCCACAACACATCATCTTCACACTGTACTGTGTTCATCACCTCAAGTCAAGTCTCCTTCCATCACCATTTATCTCTACTCCGTTGTCCCCTACCTCCCCCCACCCCTCTTCCCCCTGTAATCACCACTCTGTTGTTGGTATCCATGGATTTTTTCTTATTTGCTCAATCCCTTGGCCTCCCCTGGGCTGCACCCCCTCGAGCTGTCACCCTCCTTTCTATCTATGAGTCTGTCTGTATTTTGCTTGTTAGTTCATTTTGCTCATTAGATTTCACATATAGGTGAAATCATATGGTCTCTGTCTTTCTCTGACTGGTTTATTTCATGTAGCATAATGCTTTCCAGGTCCATCCATGCTGTGGCAAAGGGTAAGATTTCCTTCTTCCTTTTTATGGCCAAGTAGTATTCCATTGTGTAAATGTATCACAGCTTTTTTATCCACTTAACAACTGATGGACACTTGGGCTTCCAAATTGGCTATTGTAAGTAATGCTGTAATGAACATAAAGATGCACATGTATTTTCAAATAAGTGTTTTGGGTTTCTTTGAATAAATTCTCAGAAGTGGAATTGTTGGGCTGTGGGGGGGCTCAGGCTACAGAGGACCCCGTCTGCCACGGATAAAAATAAGTCCACCAAGATGTGATCTGTTTGAGGAGGAAAGGTGGCAGATCCCTCAAAGGAGAAGGGCTAGGAGCCTTTTCCTCAATGGGCTTTTAATTGGGTTCATTTGCACAGGAATACAGAGCATACATGTAAAGCTCATCAATCATTGTTAGGCAGTAACAGTCAAATAATAGATAATATTCAAAGAACTATGAGGGCTTATTTTGAGTCAGGATCAGATAGCTAAAGGGCCATAAAACTTTGGGGAAATAAACTCATTTCATGCTTGGACCCTTATCATTTAATTTGAGGGTATTAGCAAAGCAAGTTTCACAGGATTTTATGCATTCTTTCTTAGGCCTGATCATCCTGGGGAACCTGCCCTTTCAGCACAGGGCTGCACCTACCTCTGGCATTGTTTCAGGCTTAAGTTGGGCAGGGGTAGTAAGGCAGCCAAGAGATTAGGAGGCTTCTTGCAGACAGAATGAGGACTCAGGCTATGTCAAAGCCGAGGGGCAAGGTTCCATCACCCCCTTTTTTTATAGCCCCCTAAGTCCTTTCCTGAGGGCCCCTTCATGACCATGTCTGTCTTAGGTCTTCCCTCCTTTGAAGAATCTAACCTGTCATTGGCTAACTGGTCATCCACTGGGGGCCAGGCAGGGTGAGTAAAGCAGGCAGAGGTGGTTCCCCTGCCAGAGAGATAAGCTTTGTCTCCTTAATGGCTTAGGGTTCCAAGGTCTCTCACTCAGCCTTAGCCATGGGAGGGTTACAGCTTCTGAAACCAGGCAGGGCAGTTTCCAACATTGGGCCATTTATTTATGCTTTTTAACTTCTCCTTATGGTACCTATAATTGGGTCCATAAGAAGACATTTTTCTGTGCTACATTTCCTATCTAAAATCTAATAGTCCTGCTTCTAATTTGTGATGAAAATAACTTGAACTCACACAAGAATTTTTTAAAGATCTTTTGGCAAATGTTACATTCTGCCATAAGTAAAGGATCCAATGTATGCCCCATCTTCCAATCCAGCTACCTCTTCCTGCCCCCTTTTATTCAAAGTCATTTTGCTTAAGAAAGTCTACTTAAACTCATCAATGTACTCCCAGCTGGTCTTTTGTTCCACTCAGTTGCCCTTGTCAGGATGACTTCTTTCTAGCCTTTTCTTAATGGAGCACCCTACAGCTCTCATAGCTTTTCATAGCTAACCTTGCTACCCCTTCAGGTATTTTCTTCCCTGGATGGCTACAGGGTTGTTCTGTCTCTTGCCTTCTCCTTTCTGTCTTCTCTCATCTATCCCCCATGGCTCTATCATCCTTTTATGCTTCTGACTTGCCCACTACATTTCCCCCATAGTGCCCTCTCCCACTTCCTCTGTCACTTACCCCAGAATGAAACATCCTACAGTCTGAGAAAAGCAGTCTGGTAAGTCATTAAAAACATGGGCTCTTGAGTCAAATGAGTCTAAACCCTGTTCTATCACCTATGGTCCATGTCTGTAAAAGAGGACAACCACATCTATCCTAGTGACCTAGGAAAAACAGAGTTGCACATGACAGCCCCTTTCCCTTCATGTGCTCAGCAGGCACAGCAGGAGCCTGTGGCTGACTGGTCTCCCCCAGGGCTCTCATTCTTGGACGTTGGCCGTTAGGGACCATTTGTTCCTTGGATGCTTTAGTGGCAGTAGATGTCCTCTCTGCCAATCCTGATACATGATGTGAACAATAAATGTCCAGTTCTTAGCATTCAGGTTTGATGTGGAATCACAGCTACAGTGATAGATATTTTATCAGTGCTAAGTTTAAAATAAAGTGTGTACTCTTTTATTATCTTGTTAATTATCTCCATTAAAAACAAACAACAAAAGAAGAATCCCCAACAACAAAAAACTTTGCAGGTGGGCACTGGGAAAAATCTGGTAGATTGTTGCATCAGGCATCATGGCATGAACATTTTTTTCTTTTATAGATTTTCAGAGACAGGGATGGAGGGGGAAATGAGTGTTTGTTACTATAAAAGCAGGAGTGTATTTGTACAATTTTTTTCAATAAAACTTCTCTACTGGGGGAAAACGATCACAGAATGGGATATCAGATGTGAAGTACATACTTTATTGATGGTGGACACATATCATCCAGTCTTTATGCTTCCACAGAGGAGATGGAACATCCCATTTTAATCCTTGGGAAGGGCATATCTGGAGAATGATTGCAGGTTTTTGGCTGTCCTCTTATTCCTGCCATCCTGTGGGAGGAGAAATGACTCATCTGATGTCAGAGTTTGGGAAGAGAAACTCACTATGCTGTCTCAGCCTCTGCAGGGTTATTCTTTTCTTTCCCAAATAGTCTGTCTACCCTCTCGTTTGTCAGGCCTGGGATTCCTCCCTTAGAGGGCTGTGGCTGCTGTGTTCTGCCTGTGACTGAGAAAGTAAGTTTGATGGCAGAACCGGATAGGAGTCCTAGTTAGTCAGGATTGTCCCAAGTGTGTTAAGCTCTCTGATTCTTGTGCTATATTTCCCAATTAGATCCAAAGTCAGGGGGTGTTTAAGAAGGTGAAGAATAATCCTTTCAAATCCCATCCCATGACACTAAGAGATTGAAAATGCTGGATAAACCATAGTCATTGTAATTTGGCCTTCTGCCACTGTACCCCCACCCTGAATAGCTAACAGGTCTTTGAGATGTTTCTCAACTTGATATTCAAGTTGAGTATCAACTTGAGACACTGAAGTTAAAATACACACTCAACTTGAGATACTTCTGTGTGGATTTCTTGCATTCCTACAGAATCTGAACCTGTTTGAATACTTTTGAAAAGCTAGAGATAGTATATGCTTCTGGAAACACTTAGAGACCTATTTTCCCCAAAACACTCCAGGTAGTAAGATAAAGCCCTTCCCTTTCTCTCTCCAGAGACATTTGCTTACATTTCAAGGTAGTAAACCTAGAGATACCTGGAGATTTGCTTACATTGCAGGGTATCACCAGCTTCCCTGAGAAGAACTCAGCATCTCATAATTTCAGAGTTCCTCTCCACATACAGGTAGACATATAGGTAACAGTTAGCCTTCATTGCAACATCCTATGAAAATAGGAATGTGGGGAACTGATGCATGATAGTGTTCTGTGGTTTTCTCTGAGTAAATGGGCCATTTCTCTGACTCAGGAGGCTTGAGCTCTATAAACACACACATGTACACACACAGA